GCCTCTCTCTCTGCCCCTCTGCCAAGTCCAAGGAGCCTGCCTTCACGGTCCACACCTCAGCCACAGCCACGGACCAGGAAGATGTTGCAGGTGAAAGGCAGAGGTGAAGAAGGTAAACTTAACACCGAATGTTCTTCAGCACGAATGTGGTATATATCAAACTGAGTATATCAAAATGATCAGTTACAGTGGAATTATGAGCTCTTCAGCCACTGCGCAGGTTAAGGAAACACATTGTCTTTTTTTCCAATCTCCAATTTGCAATTTGCGTTCCTGCAGGCTCAGTTTTAAGAAGCCGTGAGTTCATTTCACATCACCATATCACGTTTCTTATTAAACTTGCTTCTTGTCAAATATAGCAGCCTAGCCTTAAGTAGTCCCCTTGGCTTCATTGCTTGCTTTCCTACAGTATATACAGTATATAGTGTACAGTATTAATACAGTTAGATATAAAGTAAGGCTATATTAAATGTCTTGGCTGCATCTTTATATGTGATAATGCTAAAAAATGATAGAATCATCTTTGATTCCATAATTATGTATAGAATTTGTTTATATACTGTATACACAGTCTTTATCTTGCAAAAGTATTAATCCTTTTTTGAAATTAATATACTGTAGCTGTCCACCAGTTATTCCCAGAAATCTTGAGATAGCCTAAGCAGGTTTGTAAAGAAGAATAATGAGGAAAACATGCCCCATACTAATGTAAAAAGTTGACAAAGTCTTATCCAAAAAAACTCACTGTAATTGCTTCCAAAGGTGCTTTCCAGCAAGCATTGACTTAGTGGGGTAAATTATTATGCAATCAGCACATTTTTGCTTTTGATTTTGCCTTGCAGTGTTTGCTGACATTTTACTTTTTTTTACCCATAAAACATTCAGTTTGAGCATTCTAGTTTTGATAAAAATATTAAAATGTATACACACACAATTTCTTTAATTCAGCAAAATAGAACATCTGAAAAGAAGGTCATGAAGAAAGCAAGGGCATTAGTACCTCTGCAAGACACTGTACAAATTAGAAAGAGCTCCCCCGTAAGATGTCAGGTTTAAGAGAATCAGTATGGTTAATACTCTTTACAGAAAACCACTATAGTTTTACTGCATTACATAGTAGCTACTAAATAATTGAAAACAAACATCATTTGCAGGTATAGTGGATGATTAAGTACATCATAGTACATCATATATACATTTACTTATTATTATAGTTTTATAGATATATTTAGAAATATGATTTGATCTAAAGCTTTGATATGCTTATTGCTTAAAATATTCAATATTGTGCTTCTGATTTACAAAAAGAGGGCAATGTTTTAAAAAGTTGTTAAATATGCAAAATAAACCAAAATCAAGCTGTGAAAAGCTGTGTGGGGCTGTGGATGCTGTGAATATCTGGTGTATTGTATATCTGATATGAAAAAAACCTGTAATAAACATATGCCTATGTTATTAACAATTTGAATTATTAAGGAAATCACAATTATGAACTTGTTTTTGATCAGAACCTAAGAAATGCATCCTTTTTTAGAATCAGACTGGGATTCAGAAAGTGATGCTTCCGTTTCTAGTCCAGAGAAGTCTGGAAAACATCAGCCAACTGCAGCAGAAGAGAAGGCCTCATCCGAGCAAAGTAAATTAAAACTGTGCACTTTGATGCAGTTTCCTGTCGATTTTGAATGTGTACAATAAGATATTATACAGATCTAGTCATCAAAGTAGCCAGAAATAAAATTGAAAAAATTTGCATGACTTAAAACATGACTTACTATCAAAATCATGGGTTATCAATAAAAACTGGTAGTTAAACTGTTTAACTATTAATTTTTAAGTACAAAATAAGTTATATCCTGCATATTTCTTTTCACGTATGATGCCAAATTGTTTTGTAAATTTATTCCAATCAGACACAGCACGGTCCAAAGACACACTCCTGTCCCCAGAGGAGGAACAAAGTGAAAGCAGTTCTGAACCTGAGGGAGGTTTGAATGAGGTGGGTCGTTCTGCAGGCTCTGCATTTTAGCTTCTTTTGTCTGCTCTAAAACAATTGAGGTTTACTGAGGCTGTTTCGAAGTGAACAGGTGATTTTGAGGGTTGTGTCCAAAATGCCTTAAAGTTTGCAGTTCTAAGTGACTAAAGGTATAAAGTTAACTGTTTAGAGTGAGGCTCTCAAATGTAGACACATTTACAAATGCAACAGAATCACTTCTTGGTGATCAGTGAAGACAAAGAACATGTTATTATTGATGTAGAAATAACATTTTAATAACTGTTTTATACCTAATCTAATCACATTTTACTGATAAAGGAGCACATCTGTGTTATTTTTTCAATGCATGATTAAGTGTTAAAATTACTTATGTTTTAATATTTTGCCTGCAGTTTGTTGTATTATTATATATCTTAAACAACGTAAAGAAACACATTACAAAAATCTTAAATACCTTACTTGTCAGGATCCCCAAATTATTTAAAATGCCATGGTTTTATAAATGTGCAATTTCAGAGATCTTTCAGTGTAGACTCAATGTGTCATAAGATGGGACTTTACTGTGGGCTTATATTCAAACATTAGAGAATAAAAGCGAAAATACCATACCTATTTTTATACAGATTGTACTAAACTACAGACTGTAGTTTGTTTATTGAACATAGATATTTTTCTATGGAACATTATTATAACATTATTTGCATCTGCGCTACAACTCATTAGATTACATCCTACTACACAGTTGGTTCTTTTTATGAAAAGCAAATGTTTCACTTTTTAACCATCAGGTGTGTATCTACATTTAATGCAAATGTCACCCTCACAGACAAGGACACCTTTAATTCTTTCATATAGGGTGTTTTAATATTCACAACGGTATTAATACATGATTTTGTTTTACAGATGTTTAAATGAGCTTGTGAAAGGAAACGTTTTAATAGTGTTTTTAATACATGATTCGGCAAACTTCAGTAAACAAGCAACAGATACATAACGGGGCGTTGAGAAAGCACAAGGATGCAAAGCACAGAAACACTGTTAATTTTGATGAAAGATAAAACACAATTTTCGAACTGATTTAACTCTCCATTGGCCAAAAATAAAAACATAAAAGGTATCATTAATCCAATAATTGTAGCATCCCTAACTTACTATATACTGTAGTTATTTTATTTTTTTTAAAGATTAATTTTTAACTTAAATATAGTTAAGTTCATACCTTGGGAGCGATAGACAAAGTGAATAAAAAGAATTGAGTTTGAATTCAAACTGCTGAGCTTCCCTCGTTGAGTGAAGTTCATGTGACATTTACAATGTACAGTTTATTTTTTATCACAATGTGAAGTACAATATTGTGCCTGCACAAACATTTCACGGGATGGAAAACCACTAAAACAAATCATATTCTCATACTGACAAGGAAGTATTTAATATTATACTGATCGGCTTTTATCAAACCTGTAATTGCATATTTTAAAAGGCCACTAATGAGCACTAAGTACAAGAGCTCTTGTAAGCCTTTCACGAATCAGCATAATTGGTTAATTGGAATGATTCTGATTTGTTTTCATCAATAGTGTCAAGAATGTTCAGATTACCATTTACAAATCAGATTTTTTCACTTGAATTTTAAGATGTTATTCTCGGTCTCTGATATCTATGTCTTGCTTACTTGTTGTAAGAAAAACTGCTCTGCTTTTTAGACCGGTGCTGTTTGCTGTTTTTAACTATTCTTCTCTGTGTCTACTCATGCTGCCAAAGGACAAAGTTCTGCCAGATACCACAGAGTTAGAATTAAGTAACCCTTGCCACATTGGTCCTATGGAGTCTGACGTTCAAGTAATTCAAGAAGAAGATCAGGAGAGTGGTGATAGACTATGTTCAGCTGAGGACAGCTCTGAGGTGCCATGGGAAGCACGATATGAACAAATATGGGTAGAAACGGAAAAAAGAGAAGTAAAATCCCATTACAAGAATGTAGCTGCTGAGTTAAAGGAAAAGTTTGGAGAAATTGCTCTAAAACAAAGTGGAGAATCTACTCATACAGCATCAAAAAGTGGAGACGACAAAGCAGAGCCAAAAGACATTTCTGAAGAAGAATCCAGTGATGAAGAGATTGTGCACCTCGTGCCTAAGGCTCAGAGTGCAGTTTTGCAACCTATCCCAGAGCAGCGGGAGTCTGGTTTGGATGACTCTGTTACTGAACCAGAAGAAAAACAGCAGGCACAGCTAAAGGGCAGAACGCAACCTTATGAACCATCAAACAGTAATGGAAACAGAATCAGAAATGACAGCCCAAGTCCTGAAAACACTGAGCATAATGTTGATTATGACAACATTTTCAAACGTGAAAATAAAACGCCTTCTCCTGAACACAAGGCAGAGAACTATATAGAAGGCTATGACACAGACCTAGATTCAGATTCTGGAAACAGTGGAGGAGGAAATTCAGATTTAAACCCTGATGAAAGTAGGAACTCAAATGAAAAAGCAGGTCGTTCCCACAGTATGACACCCAGAGCAAGCATCAGTGAAAAAAGTGAAAAATGTACTGGTGTTGACATTAAGCACCTCGAACTAACCGAGGAAAATCATGAGCCCATCCATACTTCCTCTCAGTGTGCAGCTTCTAAACGCCCTTCAGATGAAGAGCTTGAGGAAGATATGCAGAGGTTTAAGAATGAGGTAGGGATGCTGAAGGTTGTATTCCTGGCTTTGGAGAAAGAAAAAGCACAGCTGCAGAAAGAGGTAGAGGATTCTGAAACCCATTCCCATAGTCTGTCCACACGTGCGGTGGCATACTTCAGCTGCTTGTGCATGAAGGGGCCATTTTACTGACTGGAGAACATAGGGCAAAAACAAAATGAAAAACTTTTTGCCCGCTTTTTTCTTATTCTTCTAAACCTTCTATTTGTCATTAAGAGGCAGCTTTTTAGATTATCACTCCACTGATCCTGCTCTTGCGCTTATTTGTATTTCTTTTATGAGCTTTTTTTTTGCCTTTTAACAGAACAAACCATTCTGATTAGGAGAATGGATTTCATTCCTTTCTTTGTTTTGATTTGGGGGAATTTCTGTTTAGTTTTTGGCAACACTTTCTACTGTATGTGAATCCCATCATTTTTCAAAAAGGTTTCTCATTTCCTTCATTTCCTCTGGAATCCTTACCTCCAATATTTACCATGCTTAGGTCTGTCCTCTGTGGCTTTTATCCTTTATTTTGTTCCTGTCCTTAGTTCATTGCCAGGCATTGTATATCCCAATGAGATGATTTGGCTTACATTCTGAAAAATGTGCATGAGCTTAGTAAACACTATTCAATTACGTGCTTTTATAAAAAATAATTGGGCCTTTCCTTCACACTTCAGTTGAGATATGTTCTACGAACAATCACTACTTAACTTTGGCGGTGTATTTATTCATTCAAGTTACTCTTTTTTATATGTAAACCATCATCCATCATCTCTACAAAGCACTGACTGCTTTGAATGTTTTTACTGCTCATATACCTGTTTGTGCCTAACTTTGAAATCTTTCCTTTGAGTCTTCTGCCATTGAGGATTCACCTGTTCTTTTTTTTTCTACCTGATTCTTTTTTTATAGTTTGAACTTTTAGAAAATAAAATATTTTAGATGTTGTGTTGTAGACTGACTACCATTGAGATTTCTTTTTTGTAATTAATGTTCACATATTTTTTTCTGTGCTCTACTGGTTTATTTGAAAATACCAGGGTGATGTTCATTACAGTATGTGAATAAACAGGAGCTTGTTTGAATCCCTGGGTCATTTGTAAAATCATTCCCTGTGTTTTCAGGTTTCCAGAGAAAAGAAGGCATTTGGAGGAAGTCAAATCTCAGCTGAACTGGAAGATTTAGAGAGACCCCACCGACAAACTGAAACAGAAAAATATGAATCCAGCCAAAAATCTAAAACACAGCATGACTCTGAAAAAAGGAACAGTTTTAAAAAAGAGGACCAAAAACCATTTAAAGTCACAAGAGCTGTTAGACAGAAGATTTCATCAATAAGGGGGTAAGAGTCAGGTTTCCTGTATATGGACATATTGTCTATTTCTGTCTTTACAAATAGACCAACCATTAGTTTAAACACAGTTCTTATGAAAGGAACAACTATGTTATTAGCCTTTTGTTGGATACATGTAGATGTAAGCCATTAATCACTATGCAACAGAAATACATCAAGCCATATTTATTTGTCACACAATCAATCAAAGATCGCTTAAGAATTGGCTACAAGAAATAGTAATATATTGAAAGTGTACCGTAATCACAGTGTTCACAACACAGCACAGCAAGGGTTAACGTGAAATCTGTGATCTTTTAGCCCTGACCTGACCTCCGATCAGGATGAGGACGATGTAGATAATGAAAGGATTCCAAAGCTGTCCAAACTGGAAGTGATTACAGGGGCCAGACACAGCAAGCCCCAGCAGGCCTTCTTTGTTAATGGAGATCCACTTTCTGTATTTGATGATAGTACATTAAGTGAGATGTCAGAAGATGGAGTAAGGTATATGCAGTATGCACTTTTCTTTTTTGACTCAATCGAGAAACTCTGTTTCAATGTGAATGTAATTTTTTTTTACCAATAAAAAATAGCCATTTGAGCTTGTTGAGGTGGAAGCCAATCAAAATGTGCTTTTGGAAAATGATAACAAATTCTGAAATTATACTGCATTATACTGCATTATACTGCATTTTCTTTTTAAAAGCTCACTCCATAATAATTTATTGACTCAAGCAGATTATGTACCTTCATGGACTGCAGTAAGAAGTATTCAGGATTATTCAGCATTTCCTACTGTATGTTTTGATTATTTTGTATTTTCTTTTTAGGGCTCCATTAGCTGTAACCCAAAAGAACAAGGTAATGGCCTTTGATAGTATATCATCCATAAACCCTGGATTATAGGATACATGCATAAATTAATTACTATTACTTACAATGAAGTTAACATAGCCATTACAGTGTTTTAGATCCAACATGCACTGGTAATATTCATTACTCTTGCAATTTTCCAAAAATCCATTACTGCATGAAATATGTGTTTTGTCTCCGTTTTAGGCCTTTTTGTGTCCTAGATGTTGATTTAGAGATGCTCATCTGTTCATGTTGCATGGATTTTGTATGTAGCATATTCTTCAAATTACATTTGTTTTAAACTCTATAGAGCAATGAAGAAATTGAATTGGCAGATGACTTTGATGACTTCACCCAGTCCTCCGATACAGCTACAGAAGATGTTGAATCCCCAATTTCAGGTTATCGCAATGCTTCTCTTCTGCTTAAACAGCTTGACTGTGGTTCAATAGGTAAGCAAGGCTTCTGGGTCCCTGGGTTACTTGTATTAACAAAGTATGCAAATGTATTTCCCTGTCCATCTACTCATTCTTATTCAAAACATGATGCTGGCATGCAAAAATAACAATTAATTGTGGAAAACAGGTACTAGAATTTTAATTGGTATTAAGTGTCCATGTTATTCAACACAAAATATTTGGCATTTTGAGCTATAACATTCCTCTATGCTGTGTTTTCATAATACATTTAAATGAGAAATTACAAACACATCTTAAACACATTTCCACATAACAGTGTAAGACATCCTTTATATGTCTGATGGTGACTCTAAATCCTCAACGTTGTGTCATTTAATTTTTTCTTTTCAGTGTGGATTTAATGTGTACTTGTTCCATAATCATTTTTCTGTTTTTGATGTGTATGTTCATATTAATATTTTAGTTAATGGAATTGTGTGTGTACCACAGAATTACTGGAGTTTGGAACAAGTAAAGGTTAATTCCACACTTAAAAGTAGAAGGAGGCACACAACGTTTCAGCTGTTGAGCTTTTCTTCAGGTGACGCTTCAAGGAGGCTTAACAGACAAAATACAACGCTCTTCCTTTTCAGCGTGGAATTAGGCCTTTACTTGTTCTTTAGCAGCCAATGCATGTTGATGCAGCTCCCCACTCAATTACTGGAATTAGTTTTAAGAGCACAGGACAGTTTTAACATTTCTTTTTATAACTGATGTAAATATATCGGTATATACATATTTGGAATTTCTGAACTGTATGACCAAGTAACAGTCAGTGATGAATATAGAACACCTGATATTGAGATGGTTTAAACAGTGCTTGATGGGTTTTATCAACTGTTTAGTTCTGACATACATTTCATAAAATATCTTAAAAGATTACAATCCAGTACTGTACTTCTCCTTGCCAATTGATTCTTTAAAATTGCAGATTCTGTAAGTTTGGTAAAAATCCAGAACATGTTTCATGAGTATGAACGAACAATACAGAAGGAGAGAGGCCGTTACAATTTGCTGAATGACAAGGTCAGGCAACTGGAAGAAGAAAGGAGAGAACTTCGGAAGTCCTTGGAAAATACACGGGAGGGCAAGTCATCTCTGGAGCACCGGCAAGTGGAACTGGAAACAGATCTGAACAATCTGAAGTAAGCTGACCACTTTATTCCACACTTTTGTTAAATTGGTTTGTGATGCGAAGTTCATGTTCGATTTTAATCTGTACAGTATTGTTACAATATCCGAAGATTTCTTTTAAAGGGGTACTGGAGTCCCAATTTCTCAGACCAGTTATTAAATGTCAGTAACTAAACAAATTAATTGACGTTATCGCAAAATTTGACAAATTCCGCATTAAGCACAAAATCATAAAATACTGCAAGTCGCCATGTTGTCAGAAACCCCTGGTCTCGCCACGGGCAAGAGAAGAGTTTGCGGAAATTGTGACATGAAGCGTCCCTTCCTGCTCACTAGCCACTGTAATGTCTAATGCATTCCAATGTGCGAGTGAATGAGTACAGGTTGTGCAGCAGACTTTTCACCACACAAATGTTCTAATGTGATCTGTATGCCGAGTTAACCAGTAAGTTGTTTTTGCCAGCAAAACCGTTTTGAAGTTGAGAGCAATATTTCTTTTAGATTTAAAGAGATGTACCCACAAGCCTTCTTGTATAAATGTAATAAGGCCGCTTCAAGTCAACATGTTCAAATTACACAGCTGACCAGTTGCAGCAGCGGGCACAGCTGATTGTCTGCGGAGCTCTGCTGATGGATGACCTGTTGAAATGCCTGCAGGTTTGTCCTGAAGCAAGAGCGAGAGAAGCAAAAGAATGCAGTGATGCTGTATGAGCAGAGCCGCGACCAGCTGCGGAAGAAAGAAGAGCAGTACTGTCAGGAGCTGGAGGGGAAGCAGCAGGTGGAGCTCACCATGAGGAACCTGGAGATGGAAATGAGAGCCTTGATCAACAACATGAAACAGGTCTGGTAGTCCCTTACCCAGCAGGGATTATTTGAAAATAAACGTGGCCATGCCAGAACCTCACTGTGGAGAGTTGAACTTCTCTTTACAAGTTTCCTTAGTACATGTTTTTTTTCTTCTCACACAACTTTTATTCGTAGGTTCAGTAGATAAATTTTCACAAATTAAATGACTAAAATTAGACTCAGCTGATTTGTTTCCCCTTTTTGCGCTAAATTGCTGTGTTACGTTTCTGTGAATCCATTCTTCGTAGCTTGAGGAGGACCGGAACGAGGCGCAGCGTCTGCTGACTCAGGAGCGAAATGCCCGGGTCCTGCAGGAAGGCATCCTCAACAATCACCTTCGTAAGCAAAAGGAAATTGAGGAGGAGAATAAAAGGACTGTTACAAAAAGTACAGAGGTAATGAAATGACTTTTCTAAGCCTGAATATAGTAAGCAGGTTTGTTTATTTATACTCATCTTAAAATCTCAGTTGAATAAACTGGAATTGCTGATACCTATACAGTAAGAGTTGGCACTTTTATACAAGAAACAAAAACAAACTCTCTCTCAGTGACTGGGGCCCTGGGTTCAATTCCTGGGGTTCTACCTGCATGGAGTTTTTATGTTCTCCCAGTGTTCATGTGATATTCCTCCAGGTGCTTCCGTTTCCTCCCACAGCCCAAAGATAAACTGGTCAGTTAATTGGCTTCAGTAGAATTGTCCCTGGTCTGAGTGTGTGTCTCTGTGTGCCTTCCGATGGCCTGGTGTTTCGTCCAGGGTGTACCCTGCCTTGCACCCGTTGCTTGTCTGTTTGGGCTTCGGTTTCTCCCGCGATCATGAACTGGATTTAGCTGTTTAGAAGATGGGTGGATGGAAGTTGCTTTGCTTGTACAGTATAATTGAAAAGGGATAATTTCCCCATAGTTTTAATAAAGCAACAATCACAATATACAGTAGGAGAAATATTTACCTAGGGTATCTTTTCACTTGCCATATTGCAGGTGTTTTTTTTGTTTTGTTTTGTTTCAGTTGACGTTTCGGTTTTATTCAAACATAACATAACAAAGATCACAAATGGAGGAAAACGTTTGGCTCATGTGTACAGCTTGGTTGCCAATAGCTAATTGATCTGAGGATCCAACTGTTCCTTGAAAGCCGTGAAAGTCAGCGCACTGGCTCCAACACTATATCCAAGTGTCTTGTTCCCATAACCTTTTGTGTAAAGAAGTGCCTCCTCTTGTGTTCCTCCTAGTTTCCACGTGTCCAGCTGGTGTGCGTTTCAATACACATTCAGAAGAAATCTATAGAATTGACTTGTTGAATGCCTTTGAAGATTTTGAATACTTGAATCAGGTTACCTCATAGTGTTCTCTTTTAAGATGTCAATGTAGGGCATTCCTTTGAGCCCCAGAACGTAGCTCTTGTCGACAGATTCCAAAGCAGCAATGTTTTGTTACTTGGTGACCAAAAATTGAAAACCGAACAATTTTAACACTATAGTCCTTGGTGTATATAGCTTTTTACTACATATTCTAACATTGTTTGCCATTTTGTATTGTCTATCCACATTTTCCTGAACATTTAAATAATGCATCAACATAAATATTTAAGACTTTTTTGTAATTTTGTTGGTTTTAAAATATTATTTAATGTTTTCCAAAAAAGTTTGGAAAATTTGATGGTACCTTGGCTGGAGGGCATAACTAAGTTATCTTTTTTCTTCTATAAAGATTCTTTCCCAGCTGGGTGAAGCAAGTGACAGAAAGAAGGATCTCCTGCAGCAGAACCGCAGTCTTCAGGATGAAGTTGCCATGCTGAAGCTGGACCTGGATCGAGCTAAAGCTCATAATCAGCAGGAAGAAGCAAAGTACTCTGAAGAGAATGAGGCTCTTAAAGAAAAGGTTGAAGATTTAAAAAGAGATCTAAAGTTAAATGAGGAAGCTCTGGCACAGACGGTGTTTCAGTACAATAGTCAACTTAGTGCTCTGAAAACAGAGTGTTCTGTGATTACGTCTAAGCTGGAGCATGAGAAACAAGCCAAAGACAAACTTGAGACAGAGCTGGAATCTGTAAGGATCCGACTGACTTCAGCACTACAAGAGGTAGAGCGCAGCCAGGCTGCCAAAGCTGATCTAGAGCGCACTTTACAGCGAGAGAGAGATGAGTGGCTCCGTCTACAGGAGAAACACAACAGTGAGGCCACTAGCCAGCGGGAGTCCATTAACAGCTTGTCTCAGCAGCTCGGCAAAGCAGAAGCAAAGGCCAACAGCCTGGAGAATGAATGCCACCGTGCCACCCTGTCTCTTACGGAAAAAGTGCTTCTCTTGGAAACCATGCAGCGCGAGAAGGAGCAAGCCCAGTCCCGGCAGAAGGAACTGGAGGCTTCACTGCAAGCTGAGAAAGACCAGATGAGTAAGTCATTGTTCCGACAGGAGACCATGCAAGAAAGACTGGTCCAGGTTCAGAGTGAGAACATGTTGCTGCGACAGCAGCTGGAGGAAGCTCAGAACAAGGGCATCATCAAAGAGAAAGTAGTGACTGACGTGCAGGACCGTTTTAGCGACATCCTGACCAAGCTGCGGGCTGACAGTGAGGAGAGGGTACATATGGTGGAAGAGAGGAGCAAGGAACTTGTGGCCAAAAACATTGAACTTAGAGAACAGATCTACAAGCATGAAAATGAAAAGTCAGAGAGAGAGGTAAGCATCTCCTTTATTATGCGTTGTATAAAATGGAATAGATGCTCTTTACACCTGTGAGGTTATATAAAATATAGTGCCTGGCATACGCATGTAAATGTGTTACTAATGGACTTAAAACACTGCTGCTCTCAAGTGGCTAACCAGAAAGAATGATAGAGAGGGTCACTGTTTAAGATTTATGGTCCAGACATCACTTATGTGAGCTTGAACCATGCCATTATCTGGCTGTGACCAGGATTCACCGCAGAGCAGAACATAGTTAACTAAGCGCCACTAGAGTTGGATGGTTTTATATAAGCTGAGGTATCATCGGCTTTCTATGCAACAGAATCACTGGTACCTAGAAGGAAACCTCTGAGATTGCAGTGTTCTTATTTTCAGATTGCTTCTCTAGCCAATGAAGACTCCTATAGAATACAAAAGATGGCAACTGGTTTGACATTGGGTACATTGGAAGAGTATAGTACTTATAAGGGATACAGTATACTGGTGCAAGAGTTGTCATCGTGAACTGTTGGTGGTGTCAATGGTGATTGAATTCCGAATTGTAACGATAAAAAAAATTAAAATTAATGTATTACTTTTTTCTAACATTATACAATTATATTTTACATTCTCACTATAGTTTTAACTGTAACTTTGCTTGTCTATTTGTTACCCTAATCTAGGCTTCACCTGAAATCTAACCTAACTAGACTCTGCTAATCCTGGGCAGAGTGATGACCTTCAGTTAGATAATGAAAATGTAACAAAAGCTTTCTTTGTTACCTTGCATCTTTGTAAGATTAGGTTTGAATTAGGTAAACTTAGGACGCTGACAGTTAAAATATTTGGACTTTGCGTATTCCAGGGTGTACTGAGACAAACACAGCAGGAGCTAGCTGATGCATTAAAAAAACTTTCCATGTGTGAGGCATCACTAGAGGTCAACACCCACTACCGAAACAGCCTGGAAGAAGAAAAATTGACCTTGCAGAAAGAAATGGACAGGATGAAAACAAAGGTATGGATATAAAAAACAAAGCTATAGCGTTCTAAGTTTCTATGATTATTTTTGTCACAAGACCTCCCTTTTAAATGTTCCATTGATGGATTATTTTTCACAGTTAAAAACACTAAAAATCTTCAAATTACAAAATAAGGAGAGTTGCTTTTCACATAGCATATGAGGGACTGACTATTGGATTTACCAATCCCTCAAGCAGTTACAGATGACTATGATCACTAGTCCCATAGCTCATTAAACTCAGAATTCCAGTCCTGCAGTTTATCACCTAATACATGTGTATCTAGTTCTGCACGTATTTTGAATGAGTTGTTGAATGAGACATCCAGCAGTATGCCTTTCAACAGAGCAGAGTTATATGCAATGTATAGTAATCACAATTTTGATTTTTTTAAATAATTGTGGCTAATAATGGTAAACATCCTATATACTGACATTGATAGTACAGCCTGCACTATGTATGGATAACATAAAAGCCATAGTACAGCATGAAGCTCTTTCAGAAGTAAAACCCGAAAGTAGGAGTAAAAATTTAAATGTACTGTATGGTAAATGTGTAAGGAACAAACTGCCTAGTTACAGTATGTTGTTCGATCTGATACTCGGGCTTCTTTCAAGAAACGGTTGGATAGGTTTGATCAGTTAGCTATAGGAGCTGAATGGCCTCCTCCTGTTTATAATCATTCTTAAGTTCTAAATTAGATTTAGCTTTGAAACTGTGTTTAAAATGCTATTAGAAAGCCTAGCATGGTCCTACGCTCTGCAGAAATATTATATGCATATTTGTCAGTATTTCATGGACATAGAGTGTTAATTACTCTGTAAGCCATGAAACTATTTTAGGTATGGGAGAGATGTGGTGGAGTAGGTGCATTGCTACGTGATAAGGGGATTTTAATGAGCACAAAGAATAAAATAGTTTAAAGAACATGAAATAATTGGTGGACTGATGGAGGAACTAGGTACAGTACATGCTGTGTACATCGTCCTGACAGATATTATTTCGGGTGAAATAAGTAAGAAATAAACATCATTCCTGAAGAAGTAGAAGGGTGCAGTTCTGCATTAAATACTATTAGTATAAATGAAGCAGAAGTGTTTCAGGTATAGGACTTCAATGTTAGACTTTTGAACAAGCAAAAACAGTAATGGACACACACCTACAGTACCATATGATAATAGTATACATAGATTTTGACAAAGTTCCTCATAAATAATTCTAAAATCACAAGTGGTAGGCATTTTGGGAAATACCTGTGTTTGGATAGAACTGGATAATGGTTTGAACACCGTACTGATAAAGGGTGTATGCTCCAACTGGGGTAGTATAATTAGTGGAACAGAAAGAGATCTCTACTAGCAGTACTGTTCTTCCTAATTTATATCTATGGTTAAGATTAACAGCACTTGAAGCGTCCAATCAAATTAAAAAGATTACAATACAGATAGATTATTTTTATTATATTAAAATATATTTTATATTTATATTTATAAATATATATATATTTATATTATATTTATTATTTTTAAAGCTCACAAGTGCAGTGTATATGCAGGTTGCTAAAACATTAACTACAGATATAAAATGGGAAACAGTGAGGTTCAAGATACTACTTATAAAAATATTGTCCTAAGAAGAACAAGCAGATTTATTGTCAGGCTTAAAGGTCTTACACTTACAGTACAGGGTAAAAGAACTGAACCTTTTTAATCTTGAATAGAAAAACCTATGTAGTAACATGATTCAAGTATTCAAAAGACTCTAAAGCATTGACAAAGTCAATCCTATAAACATCTTCAGAAACTGCATCAAAACACACACCAGAGGACATTAGTGGAAACCCAATGGATGAGCACTAAAAACATGAATGGGAGTACCGTTATGCAAAGGGTTGTGGAAGTCTAGAAGAAGGCTTTTTTCCCAGAAATGAATGTATGACATCCTCCGATCAATTAGATACTAGTATCTAAAAAGGCTAGCTGGGCCTAATAGCCTTCTCTTTTTTATAACTGTGTTTAAGAGAACCACCTCATAAGTTCTGCGCAATTCCTAAAATAAATGTTTTCAGTTTAAGATGTACAGCTCTGTAACAGTGCTGCCCTCTCCTTTAATTTCAGCTGCAGGACACTGAAGATCAGTACATTCAGGCAGAGAGGCGGATCCATGACCTGAAGAATGCTCTGGATGACAAAGAGCGTGAGGTTATCTCCTCTTCACAGAAGCTGCAGCAAGTTCTCTCCACCTCCTCAGGAGCGGAGAAAACCATCAAGCAGCTCGAAGAACACATGCAGCAGTATGTAATGGGTTTTGTCAAAAATATTGAAAGTGCTATGAAAAATGGGAAATGAAAATCAAGATTCACAAAGCTGTGGATTGTGGATTATCTCCCATTTGTATATTAATGCATGAAATGATTTATGAAGTATGTGGTTTAGTACTGCTTTTCCGTTGTCTGAAACTGTTTAATTGGAATGTTGCTTTTAGGCTTGAGATTGAAAATGCCAAATTGGAAGCTGCTTCCAAACAGCAGACAAACAGAATAGAGGTACTACAGAAAGAAAACCAAGAGGCTGCAGTTGTAAGTTTTTTTTAAGTTTTTCTTTTACAAATATGATATTAAGTGGCATTTACAACGCAATGTTCAAATTACTGCTTTATGCTTATTTCAAAACCACTAGGCTGTAAGCAATGATAATTTAATATGTAAGTTGCACCGTGAAGAACAAAATTGTTCTCCGGTGAAATGTTTTTTTATTTCATGATTGAACACAGGTTTTAAAGCAGGGATACTTGTCTCAAGAGAAGGTTCTCCAGCAGTGTTTATAGGCCTTTTTAATCTCCAGCGTCTTAAGAACAAGGAAAAGTTTCAGCTTGTGCAATTAAGGAAATAATGAGTTCAATTAGATAATTAGGGGTTAGGTTGGAAAGCAATCTGGAAATGTCTGTGGCCTCTAGGACTGGACTTTTGCTCTCCTTTTAAAGGAAAGTGTAATATTTTTATAAACCTTATATATGTATATTCTATTTATCGCTGCTTGTTCATAATCATACATAAGCAGTTTCCTATAACAGCCTAATTAAATGTTATCAAGCTCTTACAGGGCACTCATGAAATTGTACCTCGCAATTACTTAAAGTAAGGCAGTATCGTACTTATACCACATTCACATACTGTACCCAAACAATTAATTATTTGCAGAATTACACTTCAGCGAATTGTAAATTACAATTACAGGTCAGCATTCTACACTTCATGCAGTAAGCAAATATATTCAGACTTTCTCTATTTTCTTTGGTTCTTGCATTTTCTTTGAATTCCACTTGGGGTAATTTAAGATAAGTGCTAGAAAAGTGTCAGTTATATGAAGCATGTAATGGCTCTGGGTGAGAGACCTGATTTCTTGTATTGTAGTAGTTATTCACGTGTTGCAGTCTAGAATGTACATACTCATCGCATTCATGTACGCTGTGTATAACTGATAAAGTTACAGAACACTAATCAGAGAAATATATAAGTAATTTGATCTTTTTCAGACATCAGATCCTCCATCTGGGGTAAGGGTTAGTATTTAAATGGAGTTTTGATGCTAATTAAAATTTCTTTTATTGCTCTACTGCTAGTGCTGAGCAGTTAACTTCATTTACTAATAAACAAAAACTGAGGTGTGGCTCATTGATACCTGTTTGATTTCTTCAATTACTATGCAAATCATTGTCAGCAACCCCATGTCTCTTCACTTGTGGCTTCTACTTGCTGGCAGCCGGAGAAGCACTGAGCCATCGGCTCTTTTTATGTTGTGTGTCAACTACAGAGTCGCATCTCATATTACATTACATGAGTAGTTTTGAGCTTCTACACTTTGGAGAATGTTCCAAGAATATATAGTTCTATACAAAATTAAAGTATACCAAATTTGAATAAAGGTCAAAATTTAGATCTTGGAATGCCTTCTGAACTGCTCTGACCAACACCCTAAAAGTTTCTCAAGTACTTTTTGTACATTTTGTCCTGTGGTGGTCTGCCTAGCATTTAATAAATATAATCAATCATTGAATTCATGTTTTATTGTCTTTTATTGATATGTGTCTTTATCAAGTTTAAATGTTGTAGTGGAATTGCTCATAATACACAATGTAGTATTATGGAGCATGAACACATTTTGTGTGTGGATTTATTTCATTAGAAAGTGCTAACCACATACTTTGGAAAGGCTTGAAGATTTTGTAAATTTATTTTCCACTTTCAGTTTAGTTAAAAAAACTAACAATAGACTTGTTCCTTAATAAATTGATTAAACTAATTATCTTCATTGATAATTCTGAATAAGTGAATTCCTAATTTAGTTATTTACACTTAAAAAAAACATGAAAGAATTTAAGTATGAGATAATTGCTCAGCACTGTCTCTTTCTGAAAGCACTTCATAAGAATCTTTTCAGGTTTATGATGAATTCTTGAATTCTGAAAAAAAAATCCCATATCTTGTGCTTTGCCTTTAAGCTACAGTTGAATGGAGTTCATAACATGATCATAGCATAAGTATATATTGTTGCTCAAGTCATTATTATTTCTTATATGAAAGAAAATATTGAGGTTATTCATTGGATATGCCAGTGTCCTGGAATTCATCATGCCCAATTTTATTTTCCCGGTGGTATTTTGTGTTTATTTTTTTAAAACTCCTTTTCCCCATTGGAATTTTAGGATAGAATGTCATACTGTTCTCATTAACGTAGATCCTGTGTCTTAAAACTAAAATGGTAGGTACAGGATTTTAAAGCCTGTTTGAATGGCAGACTTGAGAACAGGATGAATATATTTGAAACTGCATGAAGCATGTTACTTTCCCATTCTGTTGTTATTCCTAGGCAAAATTTGAGTTAATAGAATTTATTATTTTCGTGACTTTGAAGCATTTATTTGTTTTAAACTCCAGTTGCTTCTTTTTTAAATGGCACTATTTAAGTATATTTGGTTCTGCAGATACGGAATCGCTTGGAAGATTTTGTCACAAACCTGCAAGGCAGCAAGATAAATTTAGAGGAACAGCTAAATCGAGAGGTTTGTAATTTTAATCAATATAACCTGTAATTACATTGTTTACATTATAAACAATACAGAAAATGCATCACAAATCACATATTTTTCTGAAAAATGAATAATTGGAGAACAGCTCTTTAAGAGGATTGACTTTAATAATCAAGTTTAATAAAATACAGAAATTAAGAAAATGAAAATATCTGAACATCTACAAATGTCCTTTTTTTCTGATGTTCTACACAATTTCTTTATTACAATTTTGTAATAAAACTACCATTTGATGTTTTCTTTTTTATGGGTGCTCCATATATTTGCTCCATTAATTAGATGAGAAAAGATGTACTAGGTAATGTTTGCAAAGCCTATGGGACACATTATCATTTGTAGTTTTTTTAATTCTCCATTAAAATTACAAACCCTATTTAAGGATCATAGGGACAGCTGGACTAGCTCAAAGTGAGATATACTGTGAGTTTTTTCATTATTCTATATATTCAGTTGTTGATTGCATCCTTATATAAAAGGTTTGACAACAGTATCTGCAATCTGTACTATTCTCAGAGTTCTCTTTCCTTTTAGGTTCAAAAGCAGAGTATGCTCTCCCATAATGCACAAGACTCACATCTGCTCTGGGAAGAAGAGCTCAAATCAAGATCTAAACTTGGACTAAGGCTTGCTGAGCTGGAGAGAGAAAAGGGAGATCTGACAAGCCAGGTAACCTTTTGTCCTACTTTGATTGTGAAAATAAGGCAGCATTTTTTTTTGCCAAATAAATAATTGTATTGAACAGAATATTGAAGCGCATCACTGGTTATATTAAAGAAACATTTTAATTGCACCATATAAAGTATCATATAAGTTCAGGGGGGGTAGCTGCATCAGCATGCGTAGGCTGCAAAGGAACAAGTTATAGGTTTCGGCCGTGGAGCCTTCTTCAGGTGAAGAAGGCTTCACACCTGAAGAAGGCTCCACGGTCGAAACGTTGTGTTTTCTTTCTTCTTTTTTTTGTGTGGAATAAACCCATTACTAGTATCATATAAGTTAACTTTGCAGGACATGAACACAAAAGCAAAGTGATTCATTCAGACACAAAATTGATTCACAACCGATACATATGCTCCTGGATACATTCAATTTTGAGATTTCTTTGTGTAATATAAGTACTAAAATACAGCAGTAAGAACAAACCACAGCAGCTGCACAACTGTTTTTCTGCTTTTTGTTGCAAATTTTTGTTTTAGGTGGAAACTGAAAAGAAAAAGGCTAGAAAAGTAGCAGAGATGAAGCGTTCTGCAGAGACCAGGCTTGATCAGGAGATGAAAAGAAACAGTGAACTGCAAAAAGAAATGAACAGGTGCCTCATTATTTCTCAAGGGTCTTTCCTTAAAAGATTCATTATTCATTTAACTTTTCCTTATCTGACTTAGCCATTATCCTCTAACTTATGCTTTCCAAATGAGTAGAAGATGTGAAACCCATTTCTAAAATAAAGAGTAAGGAAAGCTGATAGGGTGCTGTTTGAGGTTTTGTTATGATTATGCTGCTATTTCACATGTTCAAATATGAAAATGCATACTTTAGGATGAGAGATTTCTTTTCAGTGATATTATGTATTGAATGGGTGCTTGTTTTTTTTTTTCCTGATTGTGAAAGGTTAAGGACACTTGTTAAAACAGCAAAAAAGAAGCTGAAGGACCAAGAGAACGGGGAGTTTGCCTCTCATCATAGCAGCTTCCGAGGAGAAATGGATCACAAGGCCTTGGAGACAGAGACCGCTGTTGCCAGATTCAGAAACAAAGTATGTGGACTTTTTATAATTTGTTTTAAAAATAATGATTTTATATTGTTCTTTGAAATGCTAATTAAAAAATTAGAACATGAAATGCTATAAACGATAAAAAGTTCCAGATGAATAAAACAGTATATTTTAAGGTTCCAAATATTCCTTCAGTTTCAGGTGGGATGTTTTGTCAAATTATAATGGTGAAACAATATACATTTTTGTATTGTGTTCATGTTAATTACGTCATGTTTGCATTTTTTGTTTTTACTGTAATGTGTTTTGTCCTGCTATTTTTCAGGTTGATGACCTCTCACAACACCTGGAAAAGGAAGAGTTAAAATCGGCACGACTAGAAACCATGAACAGTGACCTGCGGGAGCAGTTGGCATCCTTGAAGGCCTTGACCCAAGGCCATGAGAAACTGGAGAGGAACAAGAGACAGCTGGAGGAGGAGGTGGCAAAGCTTAGGAAACACGTGGAAACCAGCATGCTGGACCAGAGTCAGATAGAACAGTATAGGCGGGAGGCAGAGGAGCGAGCTCGGCAGGAAATCAGGCAGAAACTCGAAGAGGTCAACTTGTTTTTGCAGGTAAAAAAAATGAAAAGGGTACTTAGAATTTAGAAATCCAAAGTTATATCTCCATAATTTGACATTAATTTGAATGGAAATAAAACTTAAATATAATTTTTAAATAGTCTTCAACAGTAGGATTGAACTGAGGAACCCAAATTAACTTGACTTGACTATTTTAGTGTTCTCTTTGCCCTTAACAGTTCAACAGGATCAAGTAATGTTTCCGTGAATGTACAATACTAGACCCTAATTACTGAATCCCAGTGATTCTTCTGTGACTGGGTCCATAAATTATGATTTAGTAAAACCTCAATTTAACAGACAATATGTCTGTATATTGACATATAGACTATATAGACAATATAGTTTCTATTGTCCAAAGTATTGTCCAAAGTGCGTATATATATATGCACACACATATAGTATACTGTATGTAACCATCCTTGAACATAATAGGTTAAAGTGCACATGAAAATCTAATTATATCAGAAGAAATCAATCAATAATGAATGAAAACAACATTAAAATATGAAGTCAAGCAATGCTGATATGAACTATTTATTTATTTTGTGGCCAAGAACACTACACTGCACTGTTCATATGCTTGTATAATTTCATGTAGGGAACACCAAAACAGTAAATTCGATCTAAGGACATATCCTTGTTTTTTCTTAAGGAGGTCCTTAAGGAGCTTTCTAAATGCTTTCATGTTCTAACCAATTCGCCATAATTTTTTTTTACATTAAATGGCATGGCGTCTACAAAAATGCCCATCGCTAGTGGTAAAAGTGGTGTCTGTGCGATTTGCAAGGTTATTGGGTGCAGCACAGATTTCTAAATCTCGCACACTAATCCTACCAACTCACTGCTGTACGTACCATTTATATGCCATCTTAAAACTGCTTATTACTTGCCACTTGCATGTGATCTCAAGCCTCAACAGTACATCCTTTTGTTGTTACACGTACATTGAATTGCAAGAGCTTTTCTCACAACACCTTAGAAGCTTTAATTGATATGCTACCGTAGAAGTTTTAATTGATATACTACCATTGCACCTGCATAGGGTAAATTCTGACGGCCATCCGAAATAGACTTAAGTCCGTTGTTTACAGGCGGTCTAGTTAACAATGCTTGCTAGGCAGTCTGGATCTACAGATTTCAACCATTAGGTCTGAGCCTGTTAAATCAAGGTTTTACTTGATTTTGCATGATTTCATTGATATATGCATGAATGAAATACAGTAGAGCACCACATGAAACACTCCAATCAACTCTGTCCAGTAATTTTTTATTTTATTATTTAACACTATTTTTATCTTTTTATCTTTAAAAGTATGCAGGGAATGTATCAATGGAATTATATGTGTAGATTTCAACAAGGCTCTACAAGTTCACAGACTTGGAGAGAGATTTGTTGGACAACTTCGACCCGTTTTTGTATCAGTCCTAAAATTCAAGCCAAAAAGGCTGTACAGTAGTTCACAATGTTGGAGATTATGTGGAGAGCAAAATGCGACTCATTCACGCATATTTTGGTCATGCCCAAAAATACACCAATACTGGAAATCTATACGTACAACTCGTAATAATTTAGTAAAGGTGAATTTACCATTTGAGTTTTCTGTTATATACTTGGGCAATTTCGACTTTGATGATATTGAAGTAAAGGATAGATATATATTAGCGATTCTTCTAGCAGCTAGTGAAAAAGTAATTACATGAAAATGGCTTATAAAAGAACCTCCAACCCATGAACAACGGGTTAACATTGTGAATGAGATCTATATAATGGAAAAAATAACTTTTTCTCTCAGATTGCAGGCAGAGAGGTTTAGCAAATACCGGGAAACGTGGATTAAATTTATCTCCCTACAGGGATCTAATTCTAGTTTACGAGAAAATATGCAATAATATCTAAATGTGGACTTTTTTGTTGTTTTTTGTGTTTCTTAACAAACATTTGTATTTTATTTGTATGGCCCTCCATACCTGCTGGCAGAGTGTAAATAGTTCATTTTATATATACAATGTAACAAAAATGTAAGATGAAGGCAAATATTTATTCTGCTGTTTCGGAAATGTTCTGTTTGTAAACCATTTCATCACTAAATAAAACATTTAAAAAAAGTAGGGATTGATTCATTCATTGCAGTTACATAAAGTGACTAGGTAGATTTAATTATACCTAAGTGTTTCTTATTTGTAAAGCCCTACTTTGGAATAATGAATGGATGGGTTATTTGAAAAAAACTTTTAATTTTAAGACTTAATAATCTGCCTTTGCAGCCTATTTTATATTTTGTCAGCATTCCTACCCTTTTCCGTAAACAAGTATTAAATTTACAGACTCATTAAATAAAACTCCGTTACAAATGTGAATGGAATTGAACTATTTACTCTTTTAACTCATCCTTCAGACTCAAGCAGCCTCTCAAGAAGCCTTAGAACAAATTAAAGCCACTAATGAGGCAACTCTGAGAAACCAGCTTGAGCAGAGGATCAGAGACCTGGAGTGCGAGCTGAGCAGGGTGCGCAGTAGCCAGCAGGACCACATGTCCCAGCGGGACTCCACGCAGACTGAGCTGGAGCGCTACAAAGAGCTGTACACAGACGAGTTAAGGTTACGCAAGTCCTTAGCAGCCAAACTAGAAAGGTAAAACAGAAGTTAATGTATTACGTGTTATATATTTTTTTTAATTAAAAACATTCCATCAATCTCCTCCACGGAGATATTCTCGAGCCTTCCAATGATGGCCAGAATATAGGGGAAGATAGTAATAATATCTGTGTAGAGGTTGAGGGCAGCGTATTCTTCAGGACTTTCCAAGGAGCAACTGGGTGACTACTGGCAGGAAGCATGTGACATTTAGAAATGGTTAAAGGTTGTTAGCCTATTCAAGGAAAACGTGGCAGGAACGTAAAAAATAAAAACATTTCTAATGTTCTCAATCTGGTCACTGTTCTTCTTTTTTTCCGATTTATTTCAGATCAAACGAGAGGCTGGCAGAAGCCAACACAAAGCTGCTCGGCGAACGGCAGCGCAGTAAATCATTGATCGCCAGCAGTATTGTGAATGGAAGCCTGACTGCAGGCCCAGTGCTTGACATGAATCAGCTCCAGGGAAGCCTGGGTCCATTTGGTGGTACCCTTGGGCCTCTGAATAGAAACCTCAGTCTGGGAGGAAGCTTTCTCAACCCAGTGGGAGATGGGCTGTCGCAGAACAGTCGAGTGGAGGCATACCTAGCAAAGGTTGGCTTTTAAAACAGATAATTAAAAAATGGTATTGTGGTGTGTTATCCATGGTGCATACATTTCAGAAAGTTCACTAAGATTTCACTGGTTTGGGCTTGCAGTTTTTTCTATGGAATTTTATTCTGTAGTTCTGTAGTTTCTTCAGTAAAAAAAAAAACGTTTTCATGGTGTTATAACATCTTTTGTGGCAAAATAAGAGAAAGGTTGTCATAGTTCTGAAACAGTAACTGCCTGTAGTTTAATTACAGTACAGTTTCACACAATTATTGTGTGTAACATCATGGGTTGCATGACTGTAGGTGAAACATGTTGACGTTTTGAAGTATATACAGTTTATGCATGTTAATTTAACATACACCACTGACATATATTTTAGCTCTTCACCTGATGAATTTGTATTGGGTACAAATTTCCTGAGTTTCCTGAAACTGAACCTAGGAGTTACTTAAGGAGTTTCTTCAATCTTTTATTTCCTTATTTCTGGATCTTCTCCTCTGTACTTGCCCTTCTTTCACAGCAATCCCTGAAGTATGAGCCTTGTAGAACTTTGCACTTAACTTCTTCTGTTTCTTACTTCTTCAGCTCCTAGCTCAAAAGTCTGTTTCTCACCTCTCTTCTCTTCAGCCAGATACCTAACAAGGTGTGTAGTTGTGTGTAATTCACTTCCTCTATATTTATTCCTTGCCTAATACTCCTTACCTTCTTAGTATTAAGGTATTAAAGTATTAAGTAAAGGGACACAAGAATCAAATTCAATAGGAAAATTTGACACCAAGTAATATTTAAAAAATAAAATTGAAATTTTACTGGTGAATAAAAATAGTAAGATATTTACTAAGCAAAATACTATAGCTAGGCATCAAGCAAAAATCTAAATGCTGTGATCTAGCTATCCAAGTGCTGCTACTAATAATTTAATAGGTATGTAATACCAATGAATGGCTGTCGTATCACAACTGTTGAGGTGTATTGTTAAAACAAAATTTAAGACTTTAACAATTTTTAATGTTTGGCAGCAAGTTTCATTAATCAAAATTATTGTTAATAACTCCTATTTTTTCAGTAGCTTTTATAAATGTGAAGTATAGCTATAGCCGTTACAGAAACTGAAATAGTTCAGAGGAAGAGAATTTAAACTAAGATAGTTTTATTAGTTATATTGTCCTTAAGGTGCCCTTACTTTCCTGGATGGTAAAAGCAGATGGTAAAATGCACTCTCTGTTGCTGTTTTACTTATTTACTACAAGTGCACTGGAGTTTATAAGCCCTTTTGTTATCTCTGGAATTATTACAAGGCATTTCATTTGTCTTCATTAATCTCTTCAAGAGTTACCAGCTAGTAGTTTTTCATCTTGACTTTCATATTAGTTATCTGATATGCAATATGATATACTGTATATCTTAAGCATGGAGGCACTGAAAATATTATTTGCAGATATTCGTTTAATTCATATGAAAGCATTTAAATAGATTATATAAAAATCCCTCATATAGGAACAAAGGTTGTAATGCAAAACTATCAAGAATTATTTTATTCTTCTTGAAGTATTTTTTTTCCTATGGGTGTAGTACTATCTTTTTATGAAGTATTGAATTTGCTGTAAGTGCAGCTACAGCATATCAGTATATTGTGATTGTGCCATATTGAAAATTTACTTTAAATTAATTGTTTCTCCCGTTTTTATTTCTTATTTGTACTTCACTGATTTCAAGAGTGTATTTGTCTTAATGGATTTCCACTTATGTGTAATTAACTTACTTCCTTTGCCCCCGTTTCATTCATTTAAGCATGAATGGGTTTGAATTACAACCATTAATGTGCAAATGGCATAATTATTTTGATCATATCAGTATGTTGTGTACATTGTCACCTATATTGCCACCTGCACATTTCCAGAATGAAGTGTATTTTAATCGGTTTATTAAGCTTTAATGAGATTTTTTAATTGAATTCATTAACCAGCCATTATAGGTCTATGGAAAACAGTTAAGTTCTCAAATGGTTCATTATATCCATATTACAGTTATTTTGTTTGGAGGTGACAAAATCATGTTAGAAACCCATTATTGTTTCTTGTGTTTAGAATTATTTAATGGAGGAGTTGGAAATGAAAGATCACCCCAACTTGTGCTGTTTGCCTATCTCAAAGACTGATTTATCCATAACACAGTTTGTAATTAAATTTAAAACCATATGAAATGGATATAGCCACCTAAGTGACCTTCCCCCATGCCCTGTGTAGGTAAACATAATAATAATGCTTTGTGTAATTCCTTAGTGGTAATTTAAAGCAAAAAGATACAATTAAGCGAAAAAAAGATTTTCTTCACATGTATTTCCTCTGACCTTAGTGAGGTATGTCACTAAGAACTCCAGGCTTTAGAACACAGGTTTTTCAAAGTATTGATGAATAGTGTTAGTGGGGCCAGCAGGGGGCGCTCACCCTGTGGTCCACATGGGTCCTAATGCCCCAGTATAGTGATGGGGACACTATACTGTAAACGGGTGCCGTCCTTCGGATGAGACGTAAAACCGAGGTCCTGACTCTCTGTGGTCATTAAAAATCCCAGGGCATTTCTCAAAAAGAGTAGGGGTGTAACCCCGGCGTCCTGGCCAAATTTCCCATTGGCCCTTACCAGTCATGGCCTCCTAATAATCCCCATCTATGAATTGGCTTCATTACTCTCTGCTCTCCTCCCCACTAATAGCTGATGTGTGGTGAGCGTTCTGGCGCACTATGGCTGCCGTTGCATCATCCAGGTGGATGCTGCACATTGGTGGTGGTGGAGGGGAGACCCAATTAACTGTAAAGCGCTTTGAGTGGAGTGTCCAGAAAAGTGTACAACATCATTTAAACATCATTACAACACATTAAGTGTAAGCAATTATTATTATTATAAGTTAAAAATGTCAGTTGCTTTACAAGGTAAAATGTTTCCATGTGCAAAAAGTTGTAGTATAATTGCCAGATAATATTTAATTTTAAAGGGCATTCTTCAAGCTCTTCAATAAAAATGCTTCTCTGACTCAAAAGCTGTTTTTTTACTTGTTGTCTTTTTTCAGATGCAGAATGAATTGGAGAAAAATATCTCAAAAGAATTAGACCACGGTAGGTTTGACTGTATCTCCTAAATTAAGAGTACCAAAGATTAATTTTAGTTTAATGTTTTTTAAAGATCTTTTACTTTTTACATTTATATGCAGCCTTTTAGATTTCTACCTTGTATTGTCAGTCATTTAACATAAATGTTCTCATGATGCGTCATCACTGATATTACAAACCAAACACTTTGTATTTTGTAGTTACTATTAACAGATTGCTGTAGAATCTACAAACGGATTGTGTACTTGCTTAAATTTAAAATTATTAAAATAATTATAAATTAAAATTATAAACTTAAAATTTAATTATTAACCACCCCAAACAGAATTTGAATTAACCTTTTGCACAAGAAGAAGAAAGGCATATGTTTATATAGGTTTACATTAGTGGCCCTATGGCCTCCTTGACAGTCTTTTTTTTTTAAACCTTGAATACATTCTTTCTGAAAGTTTTGAATCTAAACTCTAAAGATGATGACCTCACGGAGCAGGGGTCAGTTATTGTGTGAGGGTGATTATTTGATTATTTTATCAAAGACAGTATCTGCAGTGTGTACTGTAGATTACTATAATAGCACTACGTGCGAATTAAAAGAGATCATATCAGAGTCCCACACACTTTTTGCATCATTTCCTCTGGTTTGTTTCACTGTTGATTTTAAAGTCTGGGTAGACTCAGTCGTCACATTTTGAAATTTTCAATACTTAAATCAGGTCCCCTTAAAGTAGTGTTCTAAATTCTAAAACCTAATACCATCCCTTAATTCCAGTTATATACTTCTCATTATCCATGTTTTTGCCCCAATATTGTCTGCAGCTCTGCTAGAGGAGAGGCATATTCCTTACAGACACCACTGAAACCCATGGAGGCACTCAGCCCACCAGTTAGGGAATCTCAGTCACTGTCAGCTATAAGACACTTTACCAGTTGAGCCACTAGGGAGGCAACATTCAAGTATACAAGACACCTGATGTTGAATATAATCCAGTAATTCTCCACAGAAGCTCAAGTTGTTCAAAAGCATCTATGGAAGCATCTACTGAACACTTCAGCATTCTTATCTTGCTTAGCAAGAGACACTTTGATTTTGTATTTCTGATTGTACTTTTCTGCTCATTGGCAGCAACAGCAGAGCTGGAAGGTGGGTCTGCCAGACTGTCTCCTGTGGGCTCAGCGGCCGGCTCTTTGAAGAGTGTAAACCTTGATCAGGATCCTGTTTCCAGAGCTACTCAGCAATACTTGGAGGTCTTAAAGAAAAACTACATGATTTAATATTATGAACAAGTGTTACGTGTTATACATGTTTACATTTGAAATATAAACAAGGCATACGCAAACCTCTTTATCATTTGTGCTTTTAGTAGAAAATTAAAAGTTGCACTGTGCTCTTAATTGCTCAGGAGAAACACTACACAACTTCTTAATCTCAAGATTGTCAAGAGCCATATTTCATTAACTGCCTAGGTATTTTTTGTAATTTGTACTTCATCTGTTCTCCCCCATGTATCAGGTTCACATTGTTTTCCTGGTATGCAAAATATCGGTACCTTTTGCTTGAAGTTATCAAGTGTTGCACATTATGTGAATATAACAGTCTGTCTGAAATGTATTCTCCATTTTCTAATAAGTATTATACTTATCTTGGAACATTATTGCCATATAATTTATATTCATCTTATATTTGCTATTCATCATTAAATGGTAATTTTCTCATTTCCTAAAATGTTGTGTGTTCTGTGTTCTTGTGCTGGCCAGTTCTCCTAATTCCACTTTAATAAATAGTTGTGCAGCCACAATGGTTTGTTGGTGACCTAAAAGCATATTAGCAATTTTTCTGTCACCAAATTTAAATTATCTTGACAAGGAAAATACTGTCCGTGGAACACACTGTACAAGAGCATAGTCATGTGTGAGATTTAATGTGACATTACAGAGGAACTTGACAATCAAGAAAGGTAGTAACTTTAAAAGACTTAGGTTAAAGCTTAAACCAACTATCAAATTTCCTAATAAAGCCTCTTGCAAATCACTTCAGGAATGTTACAGATTAAGACTTCTGTAATGAGAAACAGAGCTGCTTAACAATAGAGTTCAATTGAGCTACATTATAGTGAATTCTGTTTTGGGAAGAAAAAATTAAAAATGTGTAATACTCTAGTTCAATCTAGCAATATGTTATCAAGGTCATCAAATTTAGTATTCATCTCCCATCACTGTAGCAAATTACTCAGCCTGTTTTTCCACTCCTATCAATGCGAGAGACTTGAAAGCACTATCACAGCCTGGTCAGTACCTAGACAGCAGACTTCCTGGGAAAAAGTAAGGTTGCTGCAGGAAGAGGTGTTAGTGGGGCCTGTATAAGGCACTCACCCTGCGGTCTGTGCAGCCTCTAATGTCCCAGTACAGTGATGGGGAAACTATACTTTAAAAAGGCGGCGTCCTTCAAATGAGATGTAAAACCAAGGTCTTTATTCTCTGTGGTTGTTAAAAATCCCAAGATTTGTCTCGACAACAGTAGGGGTGTAACACTGCCATCCTAGTTAGATTTCCGATTGGCGTTTACCAATCATGGCCTCCTAATAATCCCCATCTTTGAAATGCCTTCATCACTCTGTTCTAGTACCCACTGATAGCTGATGTGTGGTGAGCGTTCTGTGCACATTATGGCTGCCGTCGCATCACCCAGGTGGTGGTGAAGGGGAGTCCCCATTACCTGTAAAGCACTTTAGTGGAGTGTCCAGTCTATACTGCACAGGAAGCAGAGGCTGCTTGCAGAAATCTCTTCAGTATAGTTGCATTTTATAAGCATACTAATGTATTCTGACAAGAAAATACTAATTCAGTAATTGTAACATCACTTTATTCATACCAAAAAGGGTTTTTTTAATTTAAATTCACCAATTATGTTTTACACATCACAGCTTGCAGCTTTGAACCAGGTGGCCACAGACTGGAAAATGCTGAAATCCAGGTTCTGTCGGACTCCTCTGACTCACCACCTTTGAGCCATTCATCTTTTAACACACCATGGGCAACACAGGCCCATACCAAACATTCATCCTAGGAGGCTCCTGGAGTGGCTGTGACGCCAAGAAATCCCTGATCTACTAATCCAACCCTCCCTTGGGCGTGCTCAGTTAACTCTGCACCACCATTTGGTGAATTCTGGTCACAGGTTATCAGTGACATGACTGACTTGACCTTGTGGTCATTAGAGTTCAACCAGTTTTCAGGAGAGCTACTTTCCCAGTTGAGCTGCTAGGGAAACCCCATACTGAAAATACAATTTGTTGGATAGAGTTGTTGTTGTTGGATATAGTAGCATATCTATATATCATCTACAAGATGCGAGCCCAAACCCTCTCATTTTAACTTAAGAAAGAAGAATATTGTGTAAATTATTATTAAAGACAAGTTTTAAACTTTAATTTCAAACAGGATGAAATAGTCACTTAGTAAAGCCAAAAAAATACACAGCCAGTATCAGTATATACACATTCTATAGTCCATAACGTTTTAGCAAAGGAGAGAATTGATTGCTAACAATCTAACCTGAGCCATGGCTTTAAAGCAGAACAGTTTTTTTAAAGTCAATTATTTCTGCAAACACTACCATTTTGATAAAGACTGCTTAAGTTTTTACATATTTTCCCTTTTGCTACATGCTTTTTCCTCAGTATCATGTTCTAATCCTTTATATTTTGTTTAGAAATGCCACAACATCTTGAGAAGAGTACCAAAATACACTGAGATGTACTCAGATTTTGGGGGCGTAAAACTGCAAAAAGATACTAAAATATGTGCTTGTCATATAAGAACACAGAAGATGTATATACCCAATACCATTGTATTTATGTAAAAAATAGCTTTCACATGCATTAAAGTTTTACTTACAACAACACAGAGTACTTAGCTTACTTGGATAAAGATTTTATAGAAATGCAGTGAAAACAACTTCATTCTTGATAATATAATAAAATTCTTGATAATATAATAAGCACTTCCTGCTGCAGGTTTTATATCAATATGCTGCCAGGGTTTATAAAACCAGATATATTTTAAGCATACTAGTTCAATATGCTTCATTTCCTTTTTTCTCTGTTCCAAAATTACCTAAGGACATTGTCTGAACAAATCTTTAAAAAGTCCTTGAATAATGAAATTCCACATTTCCTGTGTTTATCCAGTTCTATCCTTTGATGCTAAAGCTAGAGACATCTGAAAAGTCCTTCTCTGGAGCACTATTAGTGGACAACAGAGTTCAATGGCTCAGCACGGATGTTGCCCAAATCCAGAGCAGAGTCTGTTTCTTCATCAATTTCCCCAATCACAGCCCTGTCAAAAAAATCAAATGAATGAAATATACACAACACATTACACAGCTTATAAATGTTAAAAGGATACTTAGGAAATTACTACTAACATAAGGTTAGCATACAAATGTATCCAAAATAATATTTAAAAAATGTATAACAATCTGTAAAGTATACAAAATTCTACTTTGCACAATTCAATCTTTGTGGGAAAATGAATGTGGCTGCATTCCAAGCACGTAACCGCATGTGCATGATGTGGGAACAAAATCAGGAGGTCCCCGTTTCTACGAGAGCAGCAAAATCAAAAAGGATCGATGTCGGTAAAAACTGAAGTATATTTTGTGGCAGACCAGCAGGATAGAAAGTAGACACATGGGAAAAATGAGACAGACAGACTAGTTGTTGTGGTCAAATCGTGTTCAGGATAATATTGTTTCAAAATTGTTACAATAATAAAATAACCAGTTAGTTCACAAGCTAGTACAGTGATCTAGCTTCAGGACAGTTTTTCCTGCGGGTTAGAAGATACGACAAAGAAGATGTATGTATTCTATATGGCATATTATACAGGCAATTAGACGTTTTGGTGCAATTTAGAAAATGACAGGAGAGTTGCAAAGGCAGAAATAATCTGATTTCATGCTGGAAATGACACGCACTGCACAGGTCACCCAGAAGCCAATTGTATTCTCACCTCAACGGATGACCCCAACAATCAATTTGTTAATGTACATGAGTGGAGCTGGTTTTCAGCTATCACCTTATAAGGCAGATTTGAAACTTGCTGAATAAAGATGAAACAACCAAACATCAGAATCATCCAGCCATTTTCTAACTGCCTCTTCCAATTCAGGGTCGCAGGGGAGCCGGGGCCTATCCCAGCAAGCAGCAGGCGCAAGGCGAGGTACAGAACAGCAGACTGCTGCAGGGCAGGCACACAGACACATCTAGGGCCAACTTTCCCAGAAGACAGTTTATTGGACAGGTTTTTGGACTGCAGGAGGAAACTGGAGCACCCAGTGGAAACGTAGGGAGAACACACAAACTCTGTGCATATAGCACCCAAGGGCTGGAATTGAATCCAGGGCCCCAGCACTGAGAAGCAGCAAAGTTATACACTGTGCCACCATGGTGCTCCTACATCAGACTCATATCAAGCTAAAATTGACTTTATTTTTGCAACAATCCAGAAAAACTTTTGTTATTAGTGTTTATACTCCAGTGCAATGTTTTCTGAAATGTTGCAAAAAGGTCAAAAGTCACAATTATACTGCACCTCATACAACAAATAACAGCCTAAAGTTTAGAAGCTATAACTTAAAAAACAACCTTGAAAACACCATAATAGTAAAATGTTAAATATTTTTTAAAAAGTCTAAATACTTACACATTGTCTCCCCTAACAATATATAATCCAAGCACGACTTGTTCAACTCCCTGCGTTGAACTGAACACTCTCTCATGGCTCTCATCAAGAATCAGATTAATGGTCTGATCAAATCCTTTAAGTGTCCCCTAGTAAAAACAGACAGAATGAACTTAGTAAGTTAATTTATACAATTATAATGTAAGTTACCCAGGATACTTCAAGTGTCTGCCAATGGTAACATTCCCTGACATTTTTCATACCAAGATACATAGTTTAAAAACATCCTCACAACATAGCTCAGATGGGTAGAAGCATCAGCATGCGTAGGCAGAAAAGGAACAAGTAATAGGTTTATTCCATGCTAAAAAGAGAAAAAAACAAAGTTTCAGCTGTGGAGAAACACTTACACCCGAAAAGTTGTTTTCTTTCTTCTCTTTTCAGCATGGAATAAACCTATTACTTGTTCCCTCACAATATACTGTAGTGCTTTCTTTGATGCTATATACAGTAGATACTACTATATTACTAGTCCAACCGCAGTAGACCTACCACAATCATTCTTCCATCTGATGTAATAATTGCCACGGTGCCTGTGTTCCAATAGTTAAGGAATAATGCATTGGTATAAAAGTCACAAAATATATATTATTTTAGATCATTACTCCATCTCATCTCTACATGTTCAAGTCCATCTTAGAATTAATGACATCTACTCCTGCTTTGATATATCTCAGGAACTGACTTTTCCTAGCCTGGACATTCAAAGATTTTCGTTCCATATCACGGAACGTCCTCAAAAAACGCTCCAGGTGTCTGGATGTTAAAAGTATGTTTTATTTATACTGGTTTAATTCTGATTGCAATAAAAATGAAGCGCAGAAACTATGAAGCCCCTTACTTTCTCAGACTTTACACACTCACTCACTGGAATCTTTTTCCGTTTTTTTTCCAAAAACGTCTTGAAACCTCAAATACTCTTTTCTAGCTGCTGCACAGCTTAATTTAAAAAGCACTACTTATACGGTCTGCCCTACAATCATGCACAATTAAAGTTTTAACATAAAAACTTAAAATCGGGTAAACTAGGTCTGCAACGGGTATGACATTTAAAAGCTCCAGATTTTGTTATACTGAATTACAATACCTACCCTACCCTAGTTTACCTAAATCTTAAATATGAAATAAAGTAAAACCTTTTGGACTACTATATGTTCATAACGAAGCTTCGTTTTCATTTATTATATTGACTTATTAACATTTTGCTACTGGGAACACTATCTTCAACTAGGTAAACAAAATATTGAATTTTGCAATTAAATTCTAATTTGAATGCGGCACTACGTTCGTGTTCACATCATTACACGGACATCTTTTTTTCCAAGTATTGACCATTAGACCACATTGAGGCTTCTCTGTCGTTTTTATTTTGTGCCTATGTCCGCTAATCACAACGGTGTTGAAAATGCATTCGCTAGGCCCACCCTGACAATTCATAAGCCTTTACAAGCGACAATTCACACACATAAATCTATCACATCTGTCCACTCATTACTTCAGAACTCTAAAAACAAACGGGTTAAGGATACGGTTGATATAACTCTCCAACGCAGTAGACATGATTTTACCAAAAACTCCAGCTTTCGAAAAACTGAGCTTGATTTCAAACAGATACTCTCCTCTTAGCTAACAAATCACACACAGCGGAAATAGGAATGATGGGAAACACAGGCCCAACTAGATGTTCACTGATACATCGATGTTGTTGCACGTCACTAAGATTTTTTTCCTACTTTATGAAAAAACAATCCGAGGATCAAAAACATCTACACACAAGAACAATATAATTGTTCCTCTATAACATGGAACATTAATTTCAGGGATTTTAGTTTAACATGTCCGAATAAGATAACAGAATTTAAAATATCATTAATATCTGTGATATCGTTAATATCCAATTAGCTTTCTTATTCTTAACATCTTTTTTGTATTTTAGTGTAATCTTCAATTTCTGTTTTAAACATCTTTATGTTTGGAATTGAAACAATGTATTAATATATAGTTTTTCACAAATTAATAAATTAAGCAGAAATATTTATTTTGCATCCAGGTTTGTGCGTGTGAAATTCAGCTACAATCCCGTTACGACGGGAAAACTCGTAAAGGTTGCTTTTTGCAAGTTGCAAAACACGAAATTTATCAAATTCAGTTTTGAATTTAGATGTCTGATACAAAAACATCTATGCACATTATAACCTTATTGAAGAGACGTACACTTTCTGCAAATTATCATTATTGTTAAAAGATAGAGACCCTGTTTGATAATACATTGTAATAATGTCATGCTTAGATATTCCTAATATAAAGATTACGATAAAGATCTTTTTCCAATATATTAACACCACCTAAAAAAGATGTTAATTCATTTGTTATGTAATTGTAAACATTTTTATCCCCTGTAAGAAAAGCTATGACTCCTCTAGAGACCGAATCAAAAACTGCATGAAAGTCTCTGAAATGGACATTTAAAAGTTCTCTATGAAGTAATTAACATCATCTCTCAGTAAATATCTCACTAATATAATACCATTTCCATGCCATATTTAGAAAAATACAGTATTTTTAAATATATTTTATATAATTCCCATTAGGATGGCATGGTGGTGCAGTGGTTAACATGGATGCTTCACAGGGCTGGGGTCCTGTCTCCAGTTCCAGGGGAGCTATCTGTATGGAGCTGTGTGTTCTCCACATGTTCACATGGGTTTCCTCAGAGTGCTCACCTTTCCTCTAAGAGTTCAAAGACATACTGGCAGGTTAATTAGCTTCTGGGACAGCTAGGCATGGCATGAGTGTGTTTCTGTCTGTGTATGTCCTGCAATGGACTAAAGTCCCTTCCAGGTTGTATCCTGCTTTGTGCCCATTTGCTTGCCGATAGACTCCAGCTCCCTCGCAACCCAGTACTGGAAAAAGCAGTTAAAAAATGGATGGATATAATTCCCATTAACAAAGATTAGAATGTTTTCTTTGGGTTTTTTTCTATGATACCTATAAAACATTTATTTACCTCTTCACAAATCTTATTTTCTTAATATGTTACTTTTTGTTTTACTGAGATAACACAAATAATGTTCGAATTACAGTCCTCAATTGTCAAAATTTAAAATTAAACATGATACAGTCACAGTTAGTATTGGCAGAAAAATACCCACCTTAAATCTCACAATACCCATACTGCAAACTTGTGACAAAAGGCCAGATGCATGGCAAGAAGTGGCAGAAAATTCACGTTTTTGGCCTAAATGCAAAGCATTTTATCTGGTACATGCCAAGTATAGCATATCACCCATTCAGCACCATCACAACTGACAAGCACAGTAGTGTCAACATCATGTTATGGGAAAGTGTCTTGTCAGCAAGGACTTGAAGAATTGTGAAGAAAGATGGAAGGCACAAAGACACAGTGAATCCTAGAGAAAACCCTACTTGAGCCACCCAGGAATCTGAAGATGGATGCAAAATTTACATTTCATCAGGAGCAGAGCAAGGACCTGAAACACAAGGCCACACTGAAGCTGTCTGTCAAGAAGACAGTGAATGTCCTTGAAAGGCCCAGTCCAGAATTAAGAAGGACTGACAATGGAATTTTGGAACTGTAAGCCAAAGAAACTGAATGTTTTAGAAATTTTTGAGGTTTTGTTTTGAAGAGTGTCAGAGTGAGACAGGAACTTGATTATGTGGAGTCTCAGGGAGAGACTGAAATACTGTAAACTGAATGTTTTGAAGCCGGTAATAAAGGTGGCTTCTCAAAGCGCTTTACAGAAGGAGAACAACAATAAATAAAAAGAATACACAAGAGGAGACCGTGGATGGTGGTACTAGGAAAAGCAGAGGAGTGAAGAATGGAACCAGTTAATTAAAGGCTCTTCTAAAGAAGAAGGTCTGTCTGTATTTGAAGGAGTTTAGAGAAGGTGAATCTCTGAGCTTGGGGTCATAACAGGAGAAAGGCCCTGTCACCCATACAATGTAGACGGGCTTGGGGTACAGTTAGGAGACCAGAATCAGAAGAGCAAAGGTTGCGAGGTGGGGAGTAAGGACATAATAGTTCAAACAGGTACTGAGGTGCCAAGCCATGCAGAGCCTTATAGGTGAGCATGAGGATTTTAAAGCCTACACGGAATTTGACAGGAAGCCAGTGCAAGGACTCCAGGATAGGAGTAATGTGATCACCTGCATTAGACCTGGTCAGGATTCTGTCTGCTGAATTATGGACATACTGCAGTTTGTTCAAAGTAGATTTAGATACCCCAGCGAGTAGAACATTACAGTAGTCAATTCGAGATAACACAAATGTTAGTTGATCATAGCAGCTTAGTTGCCCAATGGGATAGATAGGAATTCAGACAAAAGAACTCAGTCAAAAGATCAAAAAGGAGCTAGGAGAGTTTTGTGTGGTGTTTGGTTGTATTTTTTATTTCCCTTTCTGTAAATAAATAAAAGCATTATTTTTTAACCTTACGGCTGTGTATATGTGTGTCTGTTGTCCTGGACCCACCTATTTTACAGGTCCATTACGACATGCCCAGCAGGTTGTCACATACTGAGAACTTGCTTGTGTTTTTTTCTAATTGTCAATCATAGAGCATTGCACCCTTCAGGTCTAGAATCTTAAAAAGAATGCCAATTAAGTTAGAATGCAAATATAGACCAAAATTAGCATATTAGAATGTCTTTGCTCCAGACCGCAGACAAAAGCCTTTTGAGTTAGCAAATGGGCATTACAATAATCAGGACAAGGGGTTCTGGATGCTCGAACCCATAACTGTGCATCCTTCGTATCCAGGGAAACTGTTGTGTGAACATGTTTAAGAAAATTGAGGCTGCTGATACACTGGCGAATCTGCATAGAAGCTCTGTGATTCAGTTGTGTGAAGGCTCCTGAAAAAGCACCTGAAGGAGGCTCCACAGCCGAAACATAGGGTTTCTTTTTTTTTACTTTCAGCAAGGAATTACCCTTTAGCTGTTCCTTTGAGATTAACTGAAGTGGCAGAACCTCACAGCACACTGCAGAAGGAGTCTTTCCAGTGTAATCCCTGCCAAAGGAGGATTAATAAAATGTTAATAACAGGGCTGTGAATAAATGTGTACCTTTTGTTTTCTAAACATTATAACCAATTTACCTTATTATTTACAAACCTATTAAGGTAACTGTATAACATTTTTATATTTGAAGAAGGCTTCACAGCCGAAACGTTGTGTTTCCTTTCTTCTCTTTTCAGCATGGAACAAACCTATTACTTGTACCTTAACATTTTTATGATTTTTAAGCAAGACACATTGTCCAATCCACAAGTCTCTATGTTGTAGATTGTTTCTATTTTATGAGACCTAAGAATAAAGCTAGAAAGCCTTGTATACAAACCATGACAAAAATCATGTAATATTTTTATAAGGTTCTCCAAGGCCAATTATTATGTCTGTTATGATATTTTCCCCTTTATTCAAATGTGTTTTTTTTAAGTGGCGCTTAACGTTTCATTCCTAAGCTGTTTCAGTTTTTGCTAAAGTGCTGAATGCTTTTTTGATGTTCCTGTAGAAGAGAAACTGGTACAAAAATACAATATTTCATATTTATAGAATAGACATACTGTAGTTATACCACTCACAGTCCAAAAAATGTGGCAAGAATCAACCTAAGATGGTTTAATTTCTTCCAGTTTTGCAAGGAAACAATCACCAAAAAGGTGCAAAGAAATAGCGCTCTTCAGAAGGCTGAATGGTTCATTACAATGGACACTATGAGTACACAAAAGGTCTGAAACAGAACTTAATAAACAAGATTTATTTAGCAGTAGTTGTAGAAGCAACATTATTATTACCTTGAAGAATTCCCACAAAAATCAAAAGATTCTGAAAGACCACATTCAGCCTGGAGTTTAATAGTGAATCAGAGGACCAGGTGGGGTTACCATAGATATGTCACTTTCAACTTGCATCAGTTAATGGTACGCTATTAGCCTTTATCTACCCTGTCTTTAATTTTGATGAAGTCTTGAAATTTATCATAAATTTCTTACTATTTTTTTAAATTTTGTTTGCTAAAAGAACAGAGAGGTAATACAGATACTGTTCATATGACAGAATATACTTACAGTAATTGTACTGTAGTTTGTGTGTTCTTTTAGATTGTTATTTTATATGAACATCTAGTGTTTCTTAGTTACATGTATGAATTTCAAAGAAACTTTAAATATCATGACTAACCTACAGATTATAGGCAAGCATAAAATAGCAAGACGCTATTTTGGCCTTGTGACACTTTTTCAATTCTAAATATTGTTCTAGGAGATCAAAAAGATGAAGATACCTGGGTACCTTAAATAGGCATTTGTTGTTTCTGAGTCTTCCCTCCTTTACCTGCAGGAATATTAGGTTGTGAGCCTAGAGTGAGTCATGCAATCTTGTTACCTGCCTAATTCCCCCTTCAACATGTTGCCATGGCGCCCCCTATCATATGTTTCCATGGTCCAGCTGTCCAATTCTAGACAGCTTCTGTATTTCAGTTCAGAACTGGCTGCAGATCTTTCACAAAGCGCTTTACACCCAATTTTACTGGGAAAAAAAAATTGAGCCGTGTCTCACCAGAGATTTAAACCTAGAACATTTCAGTTGTGATTCAAGAACCCCAACCACTGTTTCACATTGCTGTCCCAAATGACTGCTTT